CAGACACGATACACAGCCTAACGGTATGTTCCTGCGCATTAGAGTGGAGCGAAAACTTGACCTAAATAAGTTATTTTCGAAAACGAATATGCCTGGGTGTGCAAAAGATGCCTTTGGAGATTGTTATTTACTCAAAAAAATCCGAATGACTTATGACGATTCCATTCTGCAAACAGGGAATTTTGCTAAAGAATGCAAGTAGCTCTAAAAATTATAGGAAAGTGGTGCAAGGACAATTCACTGTCTATCAATCCTAAGAAGACAAAAATTGTCCTTTTCACAAGGAAAAGGTTGAAAATGTAATTAAAACCTCCAGAACTCCTAAACACAAAACTAAACTTTGCAACAGAGGTGAAGTACCTAGGTCTCACCTTTGACAGCAAGTTAACATGGAACTCGCACTTAGAAAACAGAGTTAAAAGAGCATACATTGCTTATGAACAATGCCGCCGAACCGTGGGGCGTCTCCCTCAGAGTCGTCGCATGGACTTACACGGCTATCATAAGACCTATGCCAACATACGGTGCAGTTGTCTGGGTACCGAAAACCCAAAAATTAACAACTATCCGTAAACTAGAACAAATTCAAAGAACAACATGTCTCAACATAACAGGACCCATGAAAACAACACCGACTAAAGCGATGGAAGTCATTCTTAGTCTCACTCCCCTTGATATTTACATCAAGGAGGTTTCTCTGACAATATGACACGCCTCCGCACGGTCGGAATGGAACCTGATGTAGGATCTGGTGAGTCGAGACGTTACTTTTGGCAGGAGGCGCTGGATACGCTCCCACTGCTTCAAGCGAACATGGAATCCATCTCATAAGCTATATAAAGTTATAATAGAACAAATAGAAGAGCCGGAAGTGGCAGGTACGAATCATATCTACACCGACAGTTCTAAAACAAAACAAGGCTCAGGATGTGGAATATACTCCAGATTCTTAAACCTAAACATAAAATGGACTGTGAGCAATAGTGCCAGTGTAGTTCAAACAGAGTTAACGGGGATTCTCATAGCAACAAAAGAAATAACCAGAAACAATATTACTGGAAGGAACATGCTCATCTATACAGATAGCAGACAGGCACTACTCACCCTGAACAGACCACGAATTTATTCAGGGTTAGTACTAAAATGTCACGAAGCTTTGGCTGAAGTATCCATCAACAACGTGGTCACCTTAAGATGGATTAAAGGTCACGCCACATCGAAAGGTAACCGTCTTGCTGATTCACTAGCCAAGAAATCAGCCAACCAAATACTTTTTGGACCTGACCCTTCTATTGGCCTGACAAAATCGGCAATGACAGACCTAATCAAAGAACATTCCCTTGTGAAATTCAAGGAAAGATGGGATAAAACAAGAAACTGTAGAGTTGCCAGGGAGCTCTTAAGTTATCCTGACAACACTGCAGCAAACAAATACTTGACTATGACTAGACAGAATCCGCGCCTAGTCACAGGCATTCTGACTGGTCACTGCCAAGTACGAAAGCATCTCCATATCATGGGGCTGTCAGAATCCGCACTCTGCAGAGGATGCGAACAAGAAGATGAGACCATCGAGCATATCCATTATGATTGCTCGACGCTCTAATTTATTAGAAGATTTGTATTCGGCGAGTATCGGCTAACACCGACCGATATAAGAGAAGCACCTCTTGGCGACGTTGTTAACTATATTAAATCTGTAGGCTGGCTCACGAGCTAGGAGGTGCCTATCTTCTCAGGAGGATGCACAATGGGCCTAATGAGGCATAAGTGCCGTGGGGTAACTCACCCTCCACACGTTACAGATCGGCTGCCGAAATGACCTTGAACATTTCAAAAATTAAAAAATCTTTGAAACTGCAAAAAAAGCAAACATGCTCCAAACAGCTAGTTTTTCTTGAAAAACTACCCAGAACTCACCACGTGGATGTGGCTGTATCTCGAGTTCCACCCTACCCTCCCACCCTTAAAATAAAAAAATTAATTTTTTATGTTCTAGAACTGCTAAAAATTGTTTTTAAAGCCCTAATAAACCTGTCTTGTGCTTCAGGGCCATACACCGCCATAGAAGCTTTAGTGACTAACTTTACATTTTACATTTTCCCTGGCGCTTTTAGAGCCAAATCGCGTTTTAAAACTCCAGTGGAGATTCCTTGATACATCTCGTACATATACTTAAGATCGGTACTTACGGTTTTTAGATCAACTATAGATAAAATTGTTTCAATTTCCTCAAACTGTACGACTGGTAAATGTTCACACGATTCAAGAGTCTTACCAATGTCTCCCGCAAATCCTTTGGGCACAGTAATTTTTCCGTCTAAATAGTTCATTAAGTGGCGAAGCGGCAATTCGTTAGTGTGTAATAAATCATCCATTGCAATGGCCTTTTTAAATCCAATTTAACAGCTCGAATCACTCCGTTTTTAAAATCGGTATTTACCACGGTTCCGTCACAACCAATGGCCACAAGTTTATTTAAATCAATATTTTTTTTTGTAAAAAGTTGATTATCGATGTTTTAATTTCTTTGACATTCCCAGATGTTGGACTAACATGTCCAAAATATCTCGATCCTCGAAACTAGAACATAATGTTCTTCAACAACTGTTTTCTGATAATACTTTTCTCCTATTTTCTCTTGGATTAACGTCTTATCTCTGCGCCCGTCGAAATATATTCATAAACATCGTCACCAAATTTTCTTTTCAGGTTTGTGCGACTTTTAATTCTAGCCCTTCTTATTTTATTACGATCTACAATTTTTGAAGAATCAGTGTGTGATACAATACCTACGTCTTTTAGTATGGCACTTGCTATAATTACTGCTTATCGGTCAGAAACTCCTGTGCGGTCAAAAGTTTCTGCCAATGTTGGTAAATGGAGTCGCATTTGAGCAGAGGATGATTTGGTGGTTTGACAACTCGCCTGAGAAGTCGGTACCAAAGGGCCGATTGCCTTAGAAGTTGACGGAATACTCTCTGTTTCTTTTTGGTCACGTTCACGTTGTTGCTTTATTTTTGGCTTTTTTTCCTTTGGTTTATCTTCTGAGAACAATGATTTGCTGGAAGTTGACTGTCTGGCTAATGCCTTTAATTCTGTTAATTATCGAAATTTTAAGGCTGTTTCGGTAGCCGAAGATATTGTTTTCTGACGTTCAGTTTTTTTTTTGGCTTACTAACGAGTACAATTAGCACCTATTAAGCATACAGGGTGGTTAAATTTCAAGAAATCGAAAATTCGTTATATTAAAAAATATATGATAATTAACGAAATTTTAAGGTGGTTTCGGCAGCCGAAGATGTCAAAACACATCAACTTTTTGTTGCAACTATTGTTTTTTATATTTTTTATGTATTTTAAAAAATACTCGCATACTTGTTTTTACACCGACCCTGGGATAATTCTCTTAGCTTAGTCTTAAATAGACGAGTAATTACGGGTGAGTTCTTGATATTTGACAACTTTCATATTAAAATGTTTAAACCCACTTTATTAGTTATGAGCTCATTCGTTTTTCCTCTCTATTTTTAGACCTTACCTGATGATGAGGATCTGATCCTCGAAACCGGTCGTAATAAAATACTCTTGTGAGATCCTAAGGACCACCCTCGTTTGATTTACCTTTTTGAATTTTCTTTAATATAAAAAATACTCTCTTTATACAAGGTGACCCAACGAAAACTTGATATGGGGGTTTAGGGTATTAATATCGTGAATGTTAAAAAAACGCTCTGACAGATCGATTTTAGTTTGAAGGAATATTTTTGATTACTATACGGTGCAAGAGAGAGGTCCGACACGCACAACATAGGGCGCGGACATTTTGATGCCTTTACCACAGTTTATAGCTAAAGAATCAGTTCGCTCACTCTGCGTCGGCACTTTTGATCTCAATGTTCCAGTTTATACACTGCGCAACTCGGATAATACAATATATGACAACCGCCTATAATAAAACAGCAGTCTTCTGCGCATCCTGAATTTGTATCCCTGGAGTGGATGTTATTTTGGAACTTTCAACTGGTCCGAGTGAGCTAACTGATTCTTTAGCAATAAACTGTGACTCCAAAAATAATATTTACTGACACTGACAGCAGCAAGCCAAATATCGGGTGCGTTTTAATCATCCGATTCTGCTTCCGGAATTGTCGGTTTATTCGTTTTAACCTGTCAGATTAAAAAAAGAAAACCGACAATTCCGAAGCAGAAGCGGATGATTAAAACGCACCTATTAAAAATATTGCGCCAAGATGTAGGCAACACGTAATAAGGCATCAAAATGGCGGAGTTTTCTATCTCCTTTTAAAAGACTCAGAAAGCTGCGCAGTGCGACCATTCTCCGTATAGTAAGAGAAAATCAAAGTATGTGGACCTCTCTCTTGCACCGTATAGTAATCAAAGTATTTGGCCATTATAGACAACAAAAAAGATAAACTGTAATTTAAAATTTTTAAAATGAGGTTAGAAATATGTATAAGGATAATGACTCTAATGTCAAAATTTCAGGTTTGCAATGTCTTATTTTAGCATGGAATTTATGTGTCTCTAATTACGTTGTCACTATTAGTGGCTGACGTTATAGAAATTTGCAATATCTATTTACTAAATAATTTTTGAAGAAAACTAGATTAAAGTTAGGTGTTAGGTTAGGCACTACACATATCGGTTTCTTCCTTAGATATTGAGTTGGAAGACTAAAAATACTTGGAAGAAAATTAATTTACCTAACTACAAAATATAATAATAGAAATCTTTTTCCTTATGACAACTAAAAAATCTAATTCATAATAATTTCAAAAAATATTTATGGTATCTGCAATAAATATATGTAAATTTTATAGGAACTAGGTGCTAATAATATTGTATTTTTTTAATTTTTAATAGCGTAAAAATCTATTTTCATCTTGTGTAAGCAGCGTTTTGTATTTTGTAGGTTTCGTGAAAAATAGACCGAACTCAGGCATGCAAAAAAATAATTTACTATTTAAAGTACATACTTTCCACTTTCAGCTCGTATAACTGTTCCTGCATCTTGTCATCTCTCGAATATATACATCTAAACAGGGTGTCTCCTAAATCGATTGTACGATTGGTATAGAATCCGTAAAACGGATTATATCTAACGAGTGTGGAATCTTTCTCGCCAAGAACATTTAAGTCTACCTTAGAAATAGTTAGATATTAACATAATGCCTGTTTTAAATAAAAACGATAGTAATCCAATTGTGTACTGCATGCATAATAACTTTAAAATAGTGTTAAAGCATTTCTGTTGTTTTATAATAGTCCAATATTTGTAATTGAGTCAACTGAGATACATTTGATCAATAATAGCGACTTTTTAAATAATGAATTAAGTACTGTACTGAGTGTGGACATTCTTTACCAACAAAAAAAACTTCTAGACTAATCCATTCATTTACAATTAAGCCCTTATTTATTACAAACATTCAGATTGTGTTTTATATTACGCATACAGAGCTGTCGCATCGGCTGCCGCATTAGAAAGAAGAAGACGTCTGCTAATTTGAGTGGGAATGGTTTATGCGAGTTTGTTTATCTAAGGAGCGAGCATGCGTTTTATTAATAAATTAGTATTTAAGTCTACTAAGCTTGCTTTATACTGCTGTCACACTTCGAAATAAATTGCCTACTTTCCTGGAAAACAACTTCAACTATGACATTAAGAATGCAACTGTACTTAATGTAATTTTAAAAGCCTTTTGAGCGTTTTTGAATCTTATGTTGTCACTAGCGAATTATAACCATAAACAGTCCTTCCAATATGTATATGCCAATATTCTACCCGTACATACTTTTTGTTATTTTACAATGTGTATTATTAATAAATTTCCTAATCCCCAAAAGAAACTCGTTTCTTAAAATAGATAGGGCCTCAAAACTCAATTAACCAAGAACTGGTATTTACAGTTGCACTAATTACTTTCTTGCACATATTTGTCCTTAATTCACAAAGCTGCCTTTAAATCGTGTATTTCAAATCGGATTTCGTGGATTTGTTTAGTAGGAACATTTATTTCTCAATAAGGTTTAATAAAACTTTTTTAAAACAATTACTATTTGCTTTCAGGCCTATCGTACCATTAGTGAAATCAGGATACCTTGGGGAACTCTTGCCAAAAGAAGCTCCACAAACAGGTGAAATGTGGCAGAATGTTCAAGATGTCGACAGGCTTATCATGCCCGGACTCACTCATTGGCACTGACCCCGATTGCACGCATACTACCCTACTGCAAATTCATTTCCTACTGTAGTCGGGGAAATGCTAAGTGCAGGATTTGGATGCGTAGGATTAAGCTGGGTAGGTAAGTAGTTAAAAATATTTTTTATATTTATTACTACTTTTTTTTTTTAATTTTTAATATTCCATTCATATTCTACATCGCAATCTTATTTTCCTTAAAGTACTCTAGAACGATATTCTTCTTTTGGTACTCTTTATTTTGCTCGTTTTATTCCTTTTTGCCGTACTGTTACTTCTGTTTTAATATTTTAAAAATATCATCATTATTATCATGATTACAAATATAATTTTCAAATCGTTATTTTTTTGCTGCCATTTATATTTTTCTTCCAAAAGACTCTCATACTCTATCATAATAATTTCACAACTTCTTAGACAACACTGTAAATGTTGCAATTCGATTTTAGTAAACAAAATTGGTCTAATAGATGTTCGTCGTTGTTTTTAACAGTTATATTTTGTTAGTGGATGTAAGATGTTACTCGACACTCGCTTCGCTGCGAGCATATCTTTTTTAATAAGAAACATACGTAAGATAAGCAAGTCCCCCACCAATTAGAAATGCCGCAGTAATGGCCAAACACATATTTATGAACCAGCAATCGTTCCTGCCATTTTTTAGCGGGCACTTGCATATAGGTATACCAGAACCATGGACAAAAGGACCTTTATTTCAAAAGTACGGAAAAATGAAACCACACATCCTAAATTATTCGGACCAATCAGTCTTATATCCTTTGTATTAAAAACCATGGAGGAGGCTGTTGATAATTATATCAGAACAAAAATCCTCTCGAGGGTGCTACTTCATCACAACCAGCAAGCGTACCTAGCAGGCATATCGACAGCATCTACCCTAGTACATCCAATTGACGAAATCCAGGATGCACTGACAAACAAAGAAACAGTCATGTGTACCTTCTTGGCAAGAGAAGGAGCGTTTGACAACACGCTGCACGAATATATCAAAAGAGCACTTGAAACAGAGAAGTAGATAGCACCACATCCAGATGGATGGCTCAGCTCCTTTTTGCAAGAACTGCAGGGAATGAAATAGGACAAGACACCATCTCCAACAGCAAGACCAAAGGACTATATTTGCAAGAGGTAAGTTTAAAAATAACAAATAAGATATAGTCCCAAGAGCTACCACGAGGTAAGATTTGGCATAAACCTTACCAAAACAACATAACTAGTAGCATTTTCAAGGAAAAGAAAATTCATGAAACCGCCAACATAGACGAAATAAATATAGAATGGAAAAAAGAGGTAAAATAACTAGGCCTTAACCAGGACAAGAAACTTTTTAGAGATTCAATGAAAAAGAAGTAATAAATGAGGCCACGAAAGCCTTAATAATTTAGAAAAACACTGCGGAAAAATGATGAGGATATAGGTTAGGATAGGTTGAAAATAAGTGGAAAGATCTCATTGCCTTCCACTATTGCGACTCCTGTCTAACTTATAGTTCACCGTAAAAGACACACCTTTTAATGAAGGCCTTTGGTGAATTGGGTGAGACCTGTTTAAAGTCGGTAAAGTCCAGATGGGTGAATCGTAAGATCTGGAACCAAGAGCCAAGCGGAGCAGGTACACAAATGTGCCTTGCAGATTTTTCCTCCACGCCGAAGAATTGACAGTCCGATGTTTGTTGCAGACCTCTTTCTAATTTGGTTACTTAGACGACAATATCTTGTCATCAGTCCCGTGAAAATGCGTAGATCTTTCCTACTCCATTCCCGGATCCGAGCCGAGGCGTTCATGGAAGGGTTGGTTATAAACGCATTAGAATAAGTTAGCCCTGTGGTATCTCTCCATTTAGTGAGTGTTACATTCTCTGTTCATTTTGTCATAATTCCTTAGACAGTGCTCTAAGCAATACCCAGGAATGGTTCTCGTTCTATGAACTCAGATTCGGTTCTTCTTTTAACAAACGCTTCGGCTTTTTTATTGCCTTTCAAATGCTGTGTCCCGGAACCCAGATTAAAGTAACTTAGTTCCAATCCAGCTTCAGATTAACTCGATAGGAGCTCAAGTCCTTGAGAGCTGCCTGGCTATCCGAAAAATTCTTTATAGTCTTGTTAGCTGGGATGCAAGAAAGAATGGAGCCAAGAATCCATCGCGCTTGCAACCGAAAGACGTGCTATTCAGTGGTATACGAACGGTTCCAAAACCATAGAAGGAACTGTAATAGGAGTGTACGGGCCGAGAACCAAGCACTCCGAAATCTTAGCAAAATACCCAAGCATCTTCCAAGCGGAAAATCACGTTATCGGGAAGTGTATCCAGATTAACATCGAGAGAAACTATTATATACAAGAGATTATCATCATGAACGATAGTCAAGTAGCCATCAAAGCGCTTACGTAATCAGCTCAAAAATGGTCTGGATATGCCTAGAATAATTGAATGAGCTAGGCGAGATACATAGAGTTACTCTCACTTGGGTCCCGGGACATAACGGGGTACAGGGTAACGAGATTGCAGATAGTCTTGCAAGAAAAGGGACTCAAACACCCTTTGTAGGACCTGAGCCGTTCTGCTATATCAGCAGTGACATAATATTAGGAGAGATTAAAAAAGCATTGGGCAGTAGAAGAACCAATGATTGGAACAATCTCTTGGGGTTGAGACAGGCCAAGATACTTCTGGGTGAATATAACCCGAAAAGATCGGAAGCCTGCATCTGTCTGAGCAAGAACAGGCTACGTATTGTAACAGGAATCCCTACCGGGCATTGCCGGCTAAAAGAACACCTAAGTAAACTGAGTGCAGATTCTGTGAGGAGGAGGACGAAACCTCCATTCACATCCTAACTAAATGTGTAGCACTCCAGAATCCAAGGGCACTATATCTAGCAGGATATCAAATAGAAGAGGGAGATTTACCTAACTCGAAGCCACTTTAAATCCTACACTTTCTTGAGAAAATAGGATTGGAAGGGTCGTTATAGGCATTGAAACATTTCCTTAGTGCATTGTCGACAGAAGGGGGCACAATAGATCTTTTAGGTCGCAGTGTATTAACACCCCATTCTCAACATAACATAACATAACATAGCGGGGAGAAAATGAATCAACTCTCTCTCGCCCAATTCTATAGCAATCATCATTTTTGCTTAGAAGATTGTGGCCAGAGAGCCCAAGTTTATTATATGTCAACAAATTTCCGTTCCTACCGCCTTTTCAGTTTTAAAGCCATCTGTGTACAGCGCAAAGTCCGCCTGGGAGAAGATTTTATCACCCCTGCTCCCTACGACTCTCTCTGGAATAAGGACGTTGAATGATTGTTCTATATGCTCTCGGGGAAATAGTGAGTCTGAGACCATGCCGAGGATATGGTCTCTATTAATCTCACTCATCCCCCCGTTTTGTATCATCTCAATTCTTCATTGCACCTAGTCTCCCTTACCAATAAAATGTGAATAGTGATTGGGTCCAACATGGTCTTTATGACTCCCGTTGGTGTTATTGACATTGTCCCAGTGATGTCGAGGTAAGCAAGCTGCTAGATTCCAGCCAGCTTTGCTCTGGCCCTCAGTTGAAGTCCCTTCTCCCATCAGACGACGGAGCATGAAGATATAACTTGAACAGTGCGATGATTGAATCAAACAATAGTGAGATCAAGCATCACTTATGGGGCTGCAGTCTAAAGTAACAGAACTAGTTTAGCTACTATGAGAGCTAATATATCAAAAGTTCAAAGACTAATGAGAACCTGTTCCACGGCCATAATGGGATTAACCTTAAAATTATACCTCTAAATTTAATGGTACAAAACGTGGTAAAAAGGAAAAAATGTGGAATAAGCGGGTCTATCAGCTCCAGGACCGAAGATACTTGAGATGTCTCAGGACGAAATGAGAAAGAAGTACATTTTTGAGAAAAACTTCGAAACCGCCGGCTGCAAGAAAGAACGGAGACAAGAAAAACATGCAATTCAATGATATACGGATGGTTCCAAAACTTCAGATGGGACTGGAATAGGATTACACTTTTTAGTAGACATCCCTATCCCCAAAATATCTTCATTTCATTATAATACCTCTCGGGTTAAGTGGTTTAATCACAGCAACTTATAAATAGTCATAAAAAATGTTTCTACAGTAGGTCATCACTGACAAAGTCAGAGAAAGGAGTCATATCTATGATAACTAGTCACGGATCTGAACTAAATCCAAACTGACATTTAAAAAGAAGAAGAATTGCATGCTGAAATATGTGTGAATCCTGGGTATATTTTCTCTAATCGCATGATTAACGCTCTCTTAGGAATGCTCTAGTTAAATCCTGTTAGAATTTCAATAGAAACACATCTACTATTTCTTTGAGAACGGTAAAGGTGCGACTCAAGAATACGTACCTTGGAAAGATGATAATTTATTGTTTTGTACCAGTGTACACCATCTGTTTTTCATCGAGTAACAATATGTCAGTAGAAATGTCACTCTTGTAGAATAGTAGATTATTATACAGGGTGTTAGTATAATCGACCGATAACGCTCTACCCCAGAGAGCTCTCGTTAAATGACGAATTTTAATATAGGAACATGGACATTTAAAAGGGCTTAGTTACCGAGATACAGGGTGAAATCAAAATTTTAAATTTGCCATAAATCAAAAACGCCTTTAAATATTAATTTCAAATTTGGTGACCAATATGCTCTTTAATATAGTAATATTTTGACATAAACTTACTTTTAAATTTTTTTACCAGTGACGCGCTATCAAGGCTAATGGTAATTTCTCCCCTATTTTTTACGCCACTGGAAAAAATCATATTTCTTATTTTTTTATTACTATTTTTATAAATTCTCTGTTCATTTTTAGTAAACACAAGTGCACTTTTTATGGAGCTAAAATGAACAGTAACGCAGAAATTTGCTTCTAAACAAAAGTCTACATGTTCTTAATCACTTGTAAGGACTCAATATTTTTAAATTCTAATCTGGTAAGCACGTATCAAATTTTTTATAGTTTGTGTTTTTGACAAGATCTTGGTAGATCAAATTTAAAATTTTTAACACCCTGTATCTCGGATCTTTAGGATTTCATGTTCCTATATCACGAAAGCTCTCTGTGATAGAGCATTATCGGTCGAATATACTAACACTCTGTATAGGTGAATGAAAGCCCACAATCAGTTGTGCTTTAAATTTAAAACTACAATAAATAAAGTTTTACCGAACAATCACACAAGCTTCTATTAATGACACCATTGGAATCGTGAATAATAATAGTTGAATAAACATTCAGTACTTACATTTTTAAAATCAAATGTCTCAAGTTTAACATCAACAGTAGGCGAGGTAGGACGACATGGTATAGTTGCCGTTTGATGTTGTACTACATATATATGTAAAATCGTCCGATCTTCATCAGTCAAAAGGGCAAGATTTTCATTATCTGCAAACAAAGATTATAAATATTTATAACGGTCATAAATACGGTGAAACATAGATCCCTGGAAAAAGTTGTTTACAAGAAATACGGTTGCAAAACTACTCCTACTCTGGAGGCAGGTAACAGTATCATCCTGTATTTCTCTTTACTAGAAGTTTGGTGCCGGTGTTGAATAACATTAAACTACCTATAAATTGAATTTGTTTAAAATACAATCTGACTTCGATAGATTAAAGTGATAATGTTTCAAATGAAAGAAAATACCGAATAAAAAATCATGACAGGAATTATATTTTCAACTAGGTATTGCCCGCGGCTTTGTATGCGTGGTGTGGTATTTTTAATATAACAAAATGCACGGTTATGTTTTTTATGGTTCACGGTGTATGTATGTGCTAGTATTATTCGCTCTGTGCGTGACAGCAGAGCCAATTCGTTTTGGTACTAATGGACTATTTCTGCGTGTACTGACAAATACAATTTTTTTTAGAATTCGTAATTACAAAGCATATACAGGATGTTTCATCTCAGACGAGCTACCCCGTATATTTCTTATTCCATGGTAATTGGAAAAAATTCCCGAAATATGTCGGATGATTAGGTTGTGACAATTTTCTTTTCGGTTTTCGAAAAAGTGGAAGTTAGTTTGGGCGCCATGGGGTTCGTAGAGTGTCTTGAGAGTGTGTGTTGGTGCCTGTCAGCGTGCGAGAGACGTATTGTTTCCTGAGGGTTTGGAAACGTGTGAGAATGGGGGTGTTGGAAATGTTTTCTAAAACTTTTCCGCTGGGGGAGCGAAAGGGAAGATATTGGCAACGTCTGAGAATACGTCTCTCGAGTGTGGAGAATTTGTTGGACAGGTGTGTGGGAAGTACGCCGTAGGGTACAGCTCTGTATTCGGCAACGGGTCGGATGAAGGAATTGTAAGTGTGAATAAGGGTGTTTGTATTGCAACGCCCCATTTGTCCGCACAAAGCCCCAAGGAGACTGGCTCGTTTTCGCATTTTATCAAGAGTGCGTTGGACATCCGAGGAACAGTTAAGTGTACGAGAAAATCGTACCCCCAAATAGTCAACTTCGGTCTGTTGAGAGAGCCTGACTCCCAGGAGATTTACATTTGCGAGTACTGGTTTAACAGATTTTGGGTTCGAGTATTTAGTTGGTTAGAATTTTTGGCTACCGAGATTAGAGCTGCATCGTCGGCTTATAGGAGGCATTTGGATGTAGGGTGGTTTGGGGGGGAATGTCATGAGTGTAGATAAGGTAGAGGAGAGGGGCCAGGACAAAGCCCTGTGGAACACCCGCGAATGGTGTGAATGTGTTTGATAGGAAGTTGTCCACTTTGACGGTGATTTTTTTGTCTGAGAGGTAGAAGTGTATGAGTTTGGAGATTTGGGGGGACACCTACGTTCATAAGTTTTTTGACTAGTCCGGCATGCCAGACTTGGTCGAAGGCTTTTTGAACATCTAAGAGAACGGCTGAAAAGATTTGTTGCGAGTTTACTGCAGTCCGCAGTAGTGTGAAGGGAGGAGATTGTGTCCTGAGTAGAGTGGTGGGGTCTGAAACCATGTTAGGATTGAGGTATGATATTTATATCTTTACAAAATTCCCAGATTCTTTCCTTGAGCAGAAGCTCGAGGAGTTTCCCTAGGACTGATATGAGAGAGATGGGTCTGTATAACCACAAGCGCACGAAAAGAAAGAATGACGTAAGAGTGTATCTAAGTATCACGGGACGGGAGCGGAGGTGCTACGGCCAGTTGTTATTTTATATATGTTATTGGGTAACATATTGGTATTGTTGTATAGGCAAATTTATAAGGAATTTTATGCTAAGATAATATACAGGGTGTTGCATTTGAAAAAATTAAGTACATTGAACCTAAAAATAGCCATATTTAGAAAATGTTTCAAAATACTCTGAATAAAATAAACCAGTTATATCACTACTATTCGTTAGCTTAGTATCTTATAAGTCTGTACATTAAACAATTTTGAAATCAATGTAAACCTATTTAAATTATGATAATTTAATTTGGGGTCTGCAATATTCTCTAATTTCAAAAAAAAAATGTGCTTGGCAACACTGTAATGCAAGGTTATCATAAAGTAAGGGATACATTTTAACTTATAACTTTTTAACAAATTAAGTTAATAACAAAAACTAAACGATATTTAATTGTTTAAATAATGGGATTTTGTATGTCCAAACCCAGTAACTGTATATGACCTCCATTTTGATCTTGTAAAATCAGCAACCGTTCCTCTAAATTGTACACATAATTTAGTATCAAATTGCGATACGCTTTCATTTGACAGAGCCCCGCTCTCAAACCCATTCTCGTGCGAAATCTTCGTAATCCAGCAATGAACTGAAGGGGGTAGAATGATAAAGTACCGTCTGCGCATCCATCACGAGTGTAGAAATTATGCATGATTCAACCTTCCACTCTTATACACTTAAATGACAAAGAGAGGTTGCCCTAAAGCACTGTAAATAAATTCCAGGCTTGGCTTTATTCAGCGTATGTTTATGTTCAGCACTGTTTTTTGTTGTGACTGTTGTAAGCTTTTTTGGCGTGGATTATTTGTTCTTATATTTGTGATTTTGTGAGCTTTGATTTCGATTTAGTATTAAATTATACTTGTTAATTATTTTTCGATGCACTATTTTATAATTGTTGCAAAAAATGTTGTTAAACCATCCCTCAATTTTGTTTACAAAATGTGTAAAGCGAAATTATGCATAGTGTCTATACTTTTTCATTGACATTTATCATTCGAAATTCATACTGGACACAATCCTGGTGGCAGTGACTAGTTTCTGATCGTTGTTGGAACATACACTGAAATAAACCAATTCTTATTGGTAGATCCATGCTATTACAGTTTGAGTCACAACTTTATGTTTACTCGCGTTTTAATTTGAAAATAAACACCAAATTGAATGATTTTGTTTTGACACTCGTGTCAACAATTGTCATGACAACACTTTTGTTTTCTATAGACACAATAAAATATCATTCCTTAGGCAATTAGATTTCGTTTACTGTTTGTTGTTAGCTTGATTTATTAAAAAGTTATAATAAGTTAAAGTATATCCCTTACTTTATGATAACCCCATATTTTTCTAAAACATTTTTGGATTGAATACCAAACTATTCTAAAAACAAAATAAAATACAGGGTGTAAATTTTTATTTGGCAGGTATAACGCAACACCCTGTATATCCAAAAATATTTTTAAAATGCATTTTTTAAATCTATATAACTTTCACTTGAAACTTGTTTGCGTGTCTATAACACAAATTGTGAACAATTACGCACTAATGGGACCCTGTATATAAAATAAAACTAAAATTTTAGTAATCGCATTCACTTACCATTAACAAATAAATAAATGATGTCATTTTTGTCATTCTTTTCAGAAATATCTTGAGTATTTTTGAAATGACAGCTATAAAAACCAACAAATGGATATGTCATGTTGGTAATATAGAGACGCAATCCATATTTAAAATTTGTATTTGATGGTTTTTCGTCTTCACTTGTGAAAGTTGTATAAAACTGTTCAGCTAGTTCTGCCTAAAAAAAATATATGTTTAATAATTCAATAAAATAGAAGTAGCTCAGTAAAGATCCAAAGCTGATTTTGAGTTTGAGTATTAACCGTATTAACCTTAGCTGGATTAGCCCAACGACGAAAAACTACTAACTAATCCATTATTTTTTAATTAAGCCCTTTTTTATTGCAATCATTCAAGATTGTTTTTATTATTACGCAGACAGAGCTGTCTCATCGGCTGCCGCATTAAAAAGAAGGAGACAGTTCTGCTAATTTAAGTAGGGATTGTCTGTGCGAGTATGTTTATATCTGTATTTAACCAGTATTTACGTCTACTACGCTTGTTTTAAATTGTTGTACTTCCTGAAAAGCATTATACAACTATAATAGTTGCAACGAGAAAAAATAGTGTTGCTGGTTTTTGGTATCACAATTTATTTGAACTCAACTTTTACAATAACTCAATTCAACTGACACAATAACTTTAACTGATAACATTACCGTTTAACGTATATCAGAAAACTGACTTCTGGCACAGTTTATAGCTCTAAAGAATCAGTTTGCTCACTCTGCGTCGGCACTTTTGATTTCAGTGTTCCAGTTTATATATTGCGCAACTCAGATTTGTATCCCTAGCGCATACGGAATCAAATCATAATAGCCCAAGAGCCCACTGTAAATTTTTACTGCCATCTGATAATAAAATAAAATATACCCCAAAAGCTTGTAAAAACATTGTACTTTACCGAATGGCACCTGTGATAATTCCAATCCTGAGCAAAGTGTTTAAAAAAATATTTTATATTAAAAAAATCACATAAGGCATGACAGCGCTAATTTTGTTTGCCCTTAAAGTTTTCCAGATAATAACATATTCAAATATATCTTGATATATATCGTTAACGGGAAACATTTTCTTCCTCTTAGCATCGCACAAAAACATCTACACACGATTAGTAGGTAAAAATCATTAAAAATATGAATCAATTTTTGCTGATTTAAGAATTTATTTGTATGCCTATTGTTGTGATTCCTTTTTACAGGTTGTCAAAGTTAGGTAAAAATATTAATAATTCAGGTTTAAAAGCTAGGTTCACAATAAATTAGGATTGTAATTTTCAGAGAAAACACAATTATCGCTGTCACGTCTTATGTAATTTTTTGAATATAAAATAATTTTTTTAACCACTTTGCTCTGGATTACAGATTGGCACAGGAGCAATTTGGTAAAGTACAATGTTGTTACATGTCTTTGGAGCATATTTCATTTTGTTATCAGATGGCGGTCGTAATTTGCAGTGGGCTCTCTTACTATTACAAATTAAGCATTCCAACGACCTGTCAAACAATAGCTGTCAGTGAGAAGGTCTGGTATATCTAAGGGGGTAGAGACATAGTCTTGCATCTTGAACGGTTTTTTTTTATTCGAAATAATAGTCACAAAGCCTGCCAATTTATGAAAAAATGTATTTTATTTTTATTGTGTTTGACATAAAATATTTAAATGTAATCCATTATTCATGATTTTACGTATTATAAAGAGAAAACATTGTATGTCGCAACCCTTGGATATATCAAATCTTCCCACTGACAGTTCATTTCGTTTATTTGTTTGGAATGCCTAATACAATATATGACAACCGCCTTTATTCAAACAGCAGTCTTCTGCGCATCCTGAATTTGTATCCCTGGAGTGGATGTTATTTTAGAACATCCAATTGGACCGAGTGAGCGAACTGATTCTTTTAAGCTATAAACTGTGCTTCTGACGTCAGGTCGTCGCCTTATATAGCTTGCCTCTCCTTCTGGAAACTTCTCGAACAATCTGGACTTTTCTTTGACAAGGGATGACATTTCGAGACTTTTCGAGAATATTCTATCTTCTTCATTTACTCGTACCTTTATTTATGATGACCGCAGCACGATACAGGGTGCTGCGTTAACATTGCTCCCTCCCCTCTAGTTATTCGCCCCGAATAACTTTACTACTGGGCCCCAGTTAGAGCTAACGGAAAGGATCTGGACCACGGCATGGCGCTAACTTCCCAATGTGAACTAGCTTGGATTTACTTCCTGCTGACAGCTGAATGCGGTATATCAGGTCGTTGATTTTCCTTAAGGACGGCGTAGCGGCCTTCCTAGTTCCGTTGCGATTTCTGGCAAAATCCTCCTATCACCTCTCTCAAAATGTGTCCCTGTGGCACGCCTGTCGATTCTAGCTTCTGCTTTATCGCTTTTGGATTCCAGTCGTTGCCGAGCGAATCCGTAGACATTTGTCCTGCCATTGCATACATCACATTTTTTACACCAATCCGCTACATCCCGTCGGCAATTGACCCAATAAAATCTTTCCCGAACTTGTGCCAGTGTTCTTTTAGTACCAAAATGTCCTTCCGAATGGCTACAATGAAGTTCCTCCAACACACTTCTGACATGTGATTTTGGCAATACCATTTGGCGGACTACATGTACTCCATTAGGGCTTTCCCACTTCCGGTGCAATAGGCCATCGTAAAGATACAGGGAATCCCACTGAGTCCAGTACCCTTTAATAGCTCCACTGTATTTGGCTATCTCTTGCCAAGTAGGTGTAACTTTATTTTTGAGCCGTTCTCGAACAATTTTCAAATCATTGTCTTTCTTCTGCCCCTTTCTCAGGCTTTCAAGGGTGATTTCTTCTTCATCGCCCTGTAGATTGATAGTGGTTGCCCGAAGGGTAACTTTATCAACTGGTTACTCCCGTTCTCCGAGCCCCTTACTATCCCGGTATTCTCGTTCTAAACAGGGTCGCCTGAAGAGAATGTCTGCGTTGCTATGGAGACGGCTTCTACGATGCTCTACTTCCTGATTATTGCTAGAAAGCCGGCTCGGTGTGGGTGATTGACTTTTTTGGAACGCATAGCTGCTGTGACTATTTCTTGTCGTGACTGGCTTCGGAAGATTGAACTATGTGACTTTCCGGCCTCGTTTCCTGATTTTCTATACATAAAACGAGCTCTGCTTCTACAGGTTATTTGAAGGTGCCTGATTCTTCCGCAATTAAAGCATCTTCTGTTCTCATTTTGACTATTTCGTTGCATATTTTGTAGGATATTTGATATTTGCGAGAGGATAGGTTGGGAAATAACATTACTATTGGCCTCCTCACTTTCCTGGGATTTAATTTCTCTTATTTTTGCGCGAGAAGATCTGGATAGGAGTTTTACCGCTTCATATTTCTGAGATGCAATCAGTTTCTCCCTCAGCGTCTTGTGATGTCGTAGACGAAGGACTTCGCCTTAGATAGCTTGCCTCTCCTTCTGGAAACTTCTCGAACAATCTGGACTTTTCTTTGACAAGGAATGACATTTCGAGACTTCGAGAATATTCTATCTTCTTCATTTACTCGAACCTTTACTTATGATGACCGCAGCACGATACAGGGTGCTGCGTAACAATACATAAATAAGTTTATAGAATTTATTAAGCCTTTAGTTTTTCTTTTACCGTGTTTTTTATTCTTGACCTAAATAAATTACAAATATTTTTTATACCCCATATTCATCTTGCATACATATGAAATACAACTGTATCCAGTAATAAAATAGTTTGTTAAACCAAAAACCTTATTTATCTTATATGATGCACAATCTGTCATTAATCATCATTTATTTGACTTCGGGGTTTGAGTGTAAAAATGGGAAATGTACATTTTCAGAAAATACCTGAATCAAATTTTTTTTATTTTCAAAATTAATTGCTTATCTGTATATATAACGTGTAGAGGGTGGGTTGCACCACGACTTTAGGCCTCAATAGGCCCATTGTGCATCTTCCTAAATCGATAGGTCCCTCTTAGCTCGTCAGCTAAGCCTACAGATTTAATGTAGTTGACAACGTCGCTTCTCTTATATCGGCCGGTGTTAGCCAAACACAATTTTTCTAATAAATGAGAGCATCGGGAAATCGTATAGGATATGCTCGATGGTCTCATCTTCTTGTTCGCATCCCCTGCAGAGTGCGGATTCTGACAGCATTATGCTATGGATATGCTTCCGTACTTTCATTTAGAATTCTTTCAGGAGCAGATTCTGTCTTGTGATACTGGTCATAGTCAAGTATTTGTTTGCTGTAGTGTTGTCGCGTTAATTTTAAAGCTCCCTGGCATCATCTTGTTTTATTTCATCCTTCCTTGAATTTCATAAGGGAATGTCCTTTAAATAGGTTTGTCACTACTGATGTACAATGGAAGGGCCAGGCCCAAAAAGTATTTGGTTGGTTGCCTTTTTAACTAGTGAATTAGCAATATGGTTACCTTTTGATGTTGCGTGACCTTTGATCAATCTTAAGGTGACCACATTGTTGACAAATACTTTGGCCAAAGCTTCGTGATATTCTAGTACTAATTATAAGTAAATTCGTGGTTTGAGTACTGATGTTGTTTCTGGTAACTTCTTTTGCTGCTATGAAAATCCCCGAGAGCAGGGTCAACGAGAGGGGGTTAGCCGGGACTGTCTCTCGGTGGCCCTGCCCGTGAGCTCTGTTTGAACTATATTGGCACTATTGCTCATCTCCCATTTTATGTTTAGGTTTAAATATTTGGAGTATATTCTACATCCTGAGTCTTGTTTTGTTTTTAAACCAATGGTGTTTTATACGAGACAGATATGAGATGGAGCCCATGTTCGCTTGAAGCAAAGGAAGCATATCGAGCGCACTGTAAAGTCGGATATATGGAATAGTCGGGTAATATGGAATTCTTTATAATTTTAAACTGAGTGGCTCCATCTCTAAGGTGATGACGACATTAGAATGCTCGTTAAAATTGTAGACTGCTGGCATGAAATAAAATTGCCGCTAGACGCCACCAACGCCGAAAAATGTGAGGTTATGATTTTCACGTATTTAAAGTTTGTGCACGGTGTCAGTTAAAATCATTTTTGTGACTACATTTTGCTTAAATAAAGTTGTTTAAACGCATGGTAAGTTTGTTTAGGCATAAGATGGTAAAAACCTTAACGATTTGCTTTGATATTTTTCGTAATAACAAATAGAGTACTTGTTTTGTTTACTTTTTGTGTAGCGTGTAATATGGAAAATTCCATATTACCCGCCCTATTGCTATCCCATATTACCCGCCGAGTATAAAGTACGGGATTTTTTTATTTTCAGAAATAATGGCTACTCTCTTGAAGAAAAAGCGAAAACAATGGAGTGAGAAAGATATGGAAAACGTCATTGAATCAGTAAGAAACAAAAATATGGGTTATTTGGCCGCAGCGAAAAAATTTAAAGTTCCACGCTCAAAACTTTTTCGCCTCTGTAGCACTGAAGGGCCTCCAGCAACTGTTAGTAAAACGAAATTGGGGAAAAAACCAATTTTGTCAGCGGAGTTAGAAGAGGAACTAGTTCGATATTTACTTATAATGGATCAAAAGTTTTTTGGTCTGACAAGAAGGGATGTCCGATCTTTAGCATTTCAACTTGCTAAGCGTAACAATATACATCATCCATTCTCCCTTTTACGCGAATCTACGGGAAAAGATTCGTCATTTATGAACAGGCATAAGGCTACACTAACTTTACGAAAACTCACTGGAACTTCCCTAGCAAGAGCCGTTGGTTTTAATAGGGAAAATGTCACTGAGTTTTTCGACTTATTTAGAGAAGACTATGGCAGAGCGAAATTATGGACCTCACCAAATATATAACGTAGATGAGTCGGGGTTGTCTATTGTGCAATCAAGATGCCTAGAAGTGGTATCGCTTAGAGGTAAACGACAAGTTGGTGCTATTACATCAGCAGAGTACTCTTATATAACCATCGTAATATGTATGAGTGCGGCAGGTGATTTTGTGCCACCCATGATCATCTTTCCGCGCAAAAAAGCAAGTGACCTAAAAAAGGGGACACCTCCAGGATCGCTGTTTGCTTTTCAGCCACCCGGATGGATTCAAACAGATTTATTTACAAAATGGTTTGACCACTTCCTAGAAAAAGCCAAACCTTCAGCAACAAAACCAATACTGCTGATATTGGACGGCCATCATACTCACACTAGAAATCTAGATGTACTTGTCAAAGCCAAAGACAATCATGTTACTATTTTATGCTTACCACCACATACGACGCATAAACTTCAGCCCCTCGACAAGACCGTCATGGGTGCATTAAAGACCTTCTATAACGAAGAAGTGAGAATCTTCATGAGCACGGAAAAAAAGTAAAGCGTGATACTTCATTTGAAAGCTACTTTTGTTAGTAATTTAACGCATAAATAACAAAGCATAATTGAATGAAACATGAAGCATACGATTTTTTTAATTAAAATTAAAATTAATCCAATTTAACCTTAATCGTAATGAACAAAAATATCAAACGGTCGAAAATACACTTTACGAGATGAAAGGTGGAATAAAAATCGACCTACTTTTGCGTTTAAAAAATCTTTAAGATAGTCATTTTTTTTCGTTTTCCTTCACCCCATATAGGTTTTTGTTTTAAAGATTCACCTGTTTTGAAGGTTTCTAACAAAAAATAAATTTTAAGTAAAAAAATGAAGATTCATTAAAATGAATAACTTCATGTTAATGTCATTTATCCATTTAAAAAAAACAACAGTTAACTTACATTTACTGTAGGAGTTGTCCATTGTAGAGGTTTATTTCCTTGACAGAAAACTGTGTAATTGTCATAAGCTTCTATAATATCTTCAGTTCCATTTAAAAGAATATGAGGTCTTGAGTAAAAATCACTACCTATAAAGAAATAATTTCATATTACAATTATATATTTTGATTTATTTATTGAGTAGAGCGCTTTGTCACTTTAGAAATCATCACCAGTGCCCTATCCCTATACACTCTGGACTATGATTAATTAATTAATTAATTAAGTTGGCAGCATAATATGAAAACTTTTTTATTATTAAAATTAGGAAACAGTTACTCTTCATAAAAAGTCGAGCATGGTCTAAAACCTGAAATACAACCAGCAGATATTAAATTTTATTAGTTTGTCAAAAATAAAGGTACTTTTACGTTTCAACAAAAATTAATATTTTTTGACAAACGGCTCAAAAAATGTAATATCTGATGGTTGTGTTATAAGTTTTAGATAATGAAGAAATTTTTTATGAACAATAAAATTAATTAATAAATATTAATAAATTAATAATAAAAAAGTTTTCCATATGGTTCCAACTTAGTGAGACATATTGTATATTTCCCTAATTACCACAATATTTTTGCAAAATTTAGTAATTACCACCCAAAGTGTATTAGTTTTGTGTTTATTTAATAATACTGCCTAACTTCTAACTGACAACAACGCGCTTTTCTTACTACATTCACTATGTTGCTTGCGTCTTTACGGGACAGTCATTCCACATTTTTAATCATTGTTTCAGGAGTTTTTGTAGTGATATTGTAATATATGACATTAACTATTTTAAACATTTATGTAGCAGCCGTTGATGTGATGTGATATGTCTTAATAACATAAACTTTAAGTAAGTAGTCTAAAAATTTGTTAAAATTATACTTAGATAAAAGAGACCAGAGATATAACACACCAGTGTTTAACCTGCACAAATATTGCCAATTTCTAAAGAAAGGTTAACGGAGTGGGCGAACTGGGCAGAGACCCGAACTCTGTGACAGGAACCGGACATAATGAACTATTAGATTTATTTTAAATATACGTTTAATGGAATTTTGTATTATGAAATAAAATTAACGTGATTTTTTAATATCAAACAGATGCCACGACATTTTATGTAAAGAGAAGACCTTTTATAGAATATTTCGTTAGCGTTTATTTACTACGGACTTTTCAGCAAGAGACTACAGTAAAATGTTGAAATATAATATTGTTAATAGAGCAAGAAATGGTACTCATTGTCTACGAGTATTATAAAGACAGACGGGCTTCGAATCCGAGCTCAGACCATGTTAATTTTTAATTAAATTGCATGGTTCGGTATAGGATTTGATGTGTGCTGTATTCATATAAATTCAATTTCTGTTGATATGACATGCATATTATAAAATCGCCATGCATTACCGTCTCGATGATGGTGGGTGAGGTTTTCCGGGTTTTCCTCATCTCTAAGTCAAATGGCACCATTAATCATCTTTAAGTCGCCCCGGAGCGCCAAGGCAAATAATAATAATAGCCGTCCCTTTCGCCGCACAAGCTCTGCTTTTGGGGTTAAAATTCACTCATAAGGGGGTGAATTAGGGAGAATATTATTATTATTATTTAGCTCCAAAATTTAGAGATTCGGATTTTTTGATCCCGTTATCTTTAAAACCGCATTTGATTGTATAATAAATAATAAATATTGCTAGAATTTGAATTTTTTAGTGAACAAAAATTTTGTTCGAGTTGTTTAGGGGTTTATAATGTAACATTTTATTAACAATGTGACTAACTCCCGTAACTTTAGTATTTTTTGCTTATACTAGATCATATTGTGCGTTTTAATTTGTTTTAATACTTAAGATTCAAATGTCATTTTTGATTCGACCGCAAATAAGATGAACCTTGAAATTTTAAGTAGGTCATCCTGTATTTCATCTAATATTCTTATAAAAATACCGTATAAAAATAAAATTTATGCTTCTTTAGTTCTTATTTATCTACCAAAAAGGGCTAAAAACCGCCTTTAGTAAATATTCTTATAAAAGTACTTTTTAAAAACAAAATTTCGTTAGCAACAATTCCTATTTACTTCTTATTTAAATTAAATGTTAAAAATTTTACCCTTTTGTAAATTTATGTAAGTAATATGAAATCTGTTTTCTGAAATATGTATTTGATGCTTAATATTTATTAAAACCCCTTAATGCGGATCTGAAGTATTCTGCCTAAAGGATCATGGTGCTTTATGTCAAAACGTTAATAAATATTTACTGCTGGAAACAAATATATTTTTTATCTTTCATAACATTGGTACTTGTATTATAAGTACAAACAATTTTTCAAGATACATCGTGGCATTTTGAACTTATGAACTTAAAATTGAATAACTAGAACACTTTAAATTGCTAAAACCCCAACAAATAAATCAAAAAACAGCTGTCAATGGTGATTGACCTCAGGCGGAGGTGAGCGTTGAATGGAAAAATCGAAGCAATTCGGGTGTCGTCGTGCAAACAATGATTTTCAATTGGTGGGTTACTTGAGGTTAAAATAGACAACATGTGCAGTGTGCAATATTACATCTTCGGTCTCTTTAATCTAAGAAATTATAAGACACATAATATATCATCTGAATCAACTGTCCAAAAGACATAAAGTTGTCAATAAACTGAAAATTTCTTTAAAATCGGTCAAAAGCTATTTTAGATATTAATAAAAACTATTAAAAAAAAATTTAAAATCCGACCTTGTTTAATCAAACACTGTTATTTTTTTATAAACTACCTACCTATCCTGACGTTATAAACTGGACCACCCTGTACGTATACGCAGTGAGCAATGAAAGACAACTAAACAAATAGTTCACAAACATATCTAGCATTCGAAACAACTAAGGTAAACAGTCAGATATTTCATTTTTGTGATAAAAATTGTAGAAAATTATTGCGATTTTTTCACATGCTACAAATGGTTTCAACTTTTATCAGTACATATTATAAAACTAAAGCAATAATAATTCGTTATTGGTACCTATTCTAAAAATATAAAGAATAGATTATAACAGGAAGTTTCCCACTCAATTTGATATTTTTTATACATCCTTCTTCTAGTTTGGAAATACCATAAACGAACATAAAGTTCATCGAATATTAATCTTGACAGGCATGACTTGTTTCTTATCACTAGCATTAGAGATAATTTTGGTATTTTTCAGTTACGAATTAAGCCTAATTTAGTATTTGCCTAAATTATCGAATTAAGTAAATAAAAATCTAATACAGTTAGAAAATAATAATTCTTTTTATAAATAAAGACAGTACGTAATTTTAAGTATACATTTAATAGATATTTTGTCTGTGCTTTGGCAAAGAAACAATAATTGTTTCTTCTTCACATACACACGGATATTAGCTCATCTACGCACAGACTACAAAAGAAAAAAAAAGTATGCTATTGCGTTCAACTGAACGAATATATTTCAAATCCATTCTAGGTAGTGAGAACACTGCAAAAAAATAAATCTACCAATCACAGTTCATGTTTTGGAAACCCGACTACTATTATTTTTAAAATTTGAAATAAGTGACAATTCTGTCAAACTAAATTCTCAGTATATTCTTTAGTTATTGAGATGGAATATAAATTAAAATGAGTTATTTTTGAATAGAATCGATAAATAATAGCATTTTTATTTGGTCCACATTTTGAATAAAACTTAAATTGTAATCAAACTATATGAAACTAATTTAATTACGAGTATTAAAACTATTAAAAACTAAAAAAGCGGCGGTGGAGCTAAGGACAGAGCTCCTGCCTTCCACGTGAAATGCCCGGGTTCGAATTTGCATTGGAGACTAATTATGATTTAATCTTTTTTTATGTTTATTTTATATTATAAATTAGTAAAATTCATAATTTATTTTAAAATTAGTTATTTTGTCTGAATAAACTAAAATAATTTTTTAAATTATGCTCTATTTTCGTTAGCGGGTGGTAGAAAAAATATACTGTACAACTCGAGTGGATTGTCCATATCCACTCTTGTTGCACAAACTAATATTTCAAGTTGGCGTTACCCAAATCTAGAGCTAAATCAAAGTCAAATTATTTAAACTTTTAACTCTATCAATTATAGATCGACGGTCATTATAAAAATTAAAACTTATTAGCTATTTAGTTGCCAATCACATTTAAAATAAATCTTCCAGTCTTCAAAATATGTTATTGAGAATATAATGAATCGAGTGAATCTAATAAACTTCTTTAATCGTACGAGAATTAGGCAAATTTACATTGAAAAGGTAAAAACTCATTGTGATTATAAGAGGTGGGAATTTTTTGAGAACATTTTGGTGATTCTTTGGAAATTATGCTGACGTCTTAAGGAGGTCCTTTCGCCACCAATGTTTAATAAAAAATATTAGATTATGACTAAAATTAATTTTTTTCTAATAGTTGAAGTCCTTATTTATCTAACAGTGAATTTTTAACTATACCTTACTGTGCAAATTTTTAAGAATTTTTTTTTAAAAATGTGAGTATTTGTACAGTGTCTTATGAGAAAGTAAGACCTCAACAACAATTTTCGAATTATAATTAAGTATACTATTATTTATTGATTAGATGAAGTAGAAAAAAACTAAAAATAAGGTTTTTGAAATATTTAGATTTTGTTTTTTACAATAAAATATATAGGTTACCGTGGAATTTATTGAGAAATTAATATTAAAAAATCACAAAAAATTTTCAACTAGGTTACTTTAATTTTTTTTGGGCAGAATTGGAACATCTGGGAGGGTACTTTATGTGTGGTCATTTTTATATTTTATGGAATATATCAGAATCTGTTATTTACGTTTGGAAAAGAAAATTCTTTAAATAAAAGTTACTTACAATATTATTATCAATATTTTTTATTCTATACAAAATTTTCCTAAAATGGTCCGTATTCGAGAAATTTGACAAAATGTAAAAAAATATTTTTTTATAAAAATTGTTCAAATAAGAGTTGTTTGTAATATAATGCTCTATAATTTTTATTCCATACATAATTTCTCTAAAATGGACCGTATTCGAGATATTTGAGTCGAATTTTGAAGAAAACTCAAAACTG